AAGACCATCAGAAAACAAAAAGATATTTACATTACGATTCATAACAGTAGCAAAATTACAGTTATAGAGTAGCAATGAAAATAATTTTATCGTTGGGGTCACCACAACATGAGGAGCTGTATTAAGGGGTCGCAGCATTAGGAAGGTTGAGAACCACTGCTCTAGCTACTACTTCCCTTGATGAATCCTGTTACATTTGCACTGATTCTTGGGCTGCTGCCAATGGCCTAGCCACTTGGAAAATTACAGACTGGCAGATTAAAAACACCTCTTTGAGGCTATGAACTGTGGAAACAAACTGTCTGGGTCAACTCATGTAGAAATCCATAGCAAGGATCTGTTCTCTGATGAGACAGACTGGAATAAAACTATTAATTGACCCTGTACGATCCAGATTGCCTCCACTGCTGCCTGGACCCACTATAATCAGATATGGCAACACGAGCACCAAGATAGACTGCACACAAAGTGAAAAATTCTGTGTTTCTGATACAGGGGTGAAGTTGTAGCTACTAAAATGGGAAAAAGAGGCTTTGTGGTGGAGGGAGAGAAACAACCCTGCTACCTAAAGAGAGAACATCCTAGAGCCTGTGAGGTTCAGGGGAGGGAGGGACATTAATGATATTTGTCCTTCAGAACCACCCTGGGAGCTTTCCTCATGAAAGAAAATGTCCTGGTGTGGCTCTCCAAAACTGTTGCAAGTACCTTAAATTTAACTGACTGTTGGGTTGGCCAGATAGCCCAATCAAGATTTGATTACCAATTCCCTTAGCCTTACCAAGAAGTCTATTGGCAACAGTGGCTGAAAACCCCAGCTCTTGTACCGTTCATGTAAAATTGTTTTCTACACCTCCAGATTTCTTCTTACTCCCATTCCTGTAGCCATCACTCACTCATTCTGTGGGGTGAATGAACACTACTAGGCTATTAGCATGGACAAACAAGACTGATAATCCTCCCAAATCAAGGGCCAGACTCAATTATTCAGACTGAATGGGAAATCTTCAGGTCTACCAGTCAGCTGAGAGGCCACATGGAGGCACTGTCATCCTGAGCCCCCTTACTAACGTAAGGCCCACTTGGCGGGGTGGAGGGGGGGCGGAGGACAATAATTGTAAATACCACTCTCTGCCCCACCCCCACCCTCATCCCCAAGGAAAATACTTCTTACATGGGAACCTGGCATTAATTTGCATCCCTCCTGAAAACATGGTGGTCATAAGAGACCTTCACATCTTTAAGGAAGTACCATCAGTAAATGATGCAGCCTCAGCTGACTTCAGAGCTCTCCTCAAAATGAAGCTACCATTGGTTATTTGGGGGAGCTTCCAGAGGGATAGCTGACTTATCATTTGTGTGCACTCTGTGGATAATTATCCTTAAGACAGCAGTTGTCCAAATAGAAAAAGTAGAACAAAATTTGTCCCTGACTTTAGCTGAAGTTATTAGTGATACCACTTCACCTCTGAAAGACGTTCAGATCAGTTATCAAATCACTGGCCAGGGTTGTTGTGGATGATAGAATTGCCCTAGACTTCTTCCTCGCAGGCCAAATTGAAGTCTGTGCAATAGCTAATACATGCTACTGTACCTGGATTTATGCTCCAGACCAATGGGAACATCAAGAGGGAAGCTTAAGGAGAAACCGCCTGATTTTCTAGGGCAAACCCTGATAGTTTATAGGATTTGTTCACCTGGAGGGGTCCAGGACCCTGGGTGGTATGGTTAATGCTAGCCTATGGTATGGCTTCATTCCGCAGCTTGGAGTCCTATTGATAGAAGCTTTAACTGAATGTTGTATGAGACATGTTGACAGATTTGGCCCCAGCCTCTGTTGGTCAGATTAATCAGAGTAACCAACAGAGGGCTGTACTCATGGGAAATTTCAGCAGAAACCAAGACAACGTAGAAATGAAGGGTAGATATTTTTAGGAGACAAGTTTCCGTAGGTCTCTCACATTTCTACAGGTCTTATGAGCAGAAACACTAACTGCCTTTGTCCCAGACTCTATTTTCAAGCTTGTTTGTATTGTGAATAAACTTGAATAGAGATCGTGTCTTCTTCTGAAGTAAAGGGTAAGTTTGCTTACTGACCATTTTAAAAAATTCGGTTCCCTAAGTTTAGGGTTCCTCTCCTGCAATCCAATCAGTGTATGAGCAAGGGTCATCAGGTCCCCTTCCTATCATCCCATGGGAATGAGAGCTTAGGGGACTGACACAAAACTGATAATACTCTGACTAATGCTAATGTTATGAGTAATAAAGTACCCTTTGTTTCTGACCCATTTTTGTTTCTTATGCCAAGAATCCAAGAAATTGTGGCAGGCAAACTTGTTAGTTTACAATTAGGATAAAATCTCAGATCTTTCATAGTTCAGCAGCCTGCAAGTGGAGAGGTGTGAAAGAGGAATGAAAGTGGTTGGAGGAAGATGTGAGGTCAGTGAAGGTGTTTGTTTATTTATGTGTCATCAGAAGGGAGGTATCTGAGTATATTAAATGCTAATGCAAATTAACATCATTGTTTGCAATAACATAAATATAAAACCACCCACCTGTCCATCAAAGCAGAATAGACAGATAAGCTGTGGCATAAGTGGAATACTAGATAGCAGTAAAAATGAAAAACCACAGCTACATGTGTTGAGATGGGTGAATCTCAAAAACATAATAGTGAACAGAAGAAGCAAGTTACAGAGAAACCCATGCAAGAAATTAACACAAAATTCAAGATAATGATTATGAACGGGGAGGATGCAATTCAGGAATGGCAGTTTTCTAATTTTTGGCTTAGATGGTGGATACATGGGCACTAGTCTCATTTTTCTTTTAATTGTACATACATGCTTCTTTTTAAAAGCATATATGCTAATATTTTACAGTTTGTTTAAAAGCTGTTAATAGAAAAGAATCAAAAGAGAAAAAGAGCTAAGAATGAGTCAAGAGAGAGGCTAATTGATATTGCCAGACAGGGTTAAGGGTCCACTTGCCTTTAAACCCCCAAGAACTTGTAGTAGAGGCACCGACCTGTATAGCTGAGTGAAATTCGTCTCTTTCACCATAGTTACCTCATTCTAAGCCCTTTTCTATAACCCTTGTAGCCACCTCCTTGCTGCCTCTCCTCAATTCCAAGTGCTGATATTGTTACCACTTTCTCCTGCGTTCTTAAAAAGGATCTTACAAGTTCCATACACTATGGTATAAATGATCAATAAGATCGAAATGGATTATTTGCTCATTAGTTTATTCATTTAATAAATATTTATGAAGCATCTAGATGTGTCAGGCACTCTAGCTGTGTATATAGCTAAAACAAAGAGGACAATCATCTGCCCTTTTACATCTTACTGTTATTTATGTATTCCTCTTTCCCTACTTTCAGGATCATATGCATTTGTTAGAGCAGGGAACAAATTTCCAGGTACTGATGGGGCTGAGGGTGGGAAGTTAATAGGAGGAAAAACTCATGCTCCATTATGTGGTCCCACTAGACCATTAGCTCCTCAAGGGTGACATCTGATTCAACTTTGTATCTAACATGAAGTCTAGTATATTGCCTTGGGTACAGCAGGAATATTTGTTGACTGAGTGAGGGAACAGATAAATATGGCAACTGTCTAGATTATATTTAAGGTCTCCCAGTTCTCTCTTCCTAACCCCCCACCCCTTACCTCTACCCTCACCCTCCTGCTTCATGCCTTCAGACATTCTTTCATGGAAGTGGCTGATAATGCTATCCCCAATCACCCCATCTTGGAATACTTATCTTAGAAGACTGCCCATGGGCCCCTGAACACCACATGTTACCTCTGTTAGATTTTCTTCTGCTGCAGTAATAAGTGGTGTATTCCCAGTTTTGGGATGCTGAAAGTCAAGGTTTCCAAGGATGGAATGAACTTTAGTAATATGGTCACAGATGAGTTCTACATCACCTCTTGAAACTAATTCCAAAAAATCATGAATCAGTTTATTTTTATTCATCTTTCTCATTCCATATAATGGCCTTTAAGAGAAAATAAATGATTTAATTAAATGACAGCCAAAAAAGAGTGGGTGATTCAAATGTAACACATTCTATTTTTAGTGTCACCTGTTTCCTTCTTTTATGTGTAAAATATTGTAACAGTTTTAAAGACAACTTTGAAAAACAGATAAACCCATAATATGACCAATTTTGGTTCTTTGCACACATATTTTAAATTAGAACAACAATACTTTTACCATCATTTTGCAAGATCTGTTATGGTTCAGGAGAAGAAAGAATGGATCAACACCGAAATGTAACGAAATGAAAAAGTAGAAGCTTTGGAGACTGATAGAACCCTGTTGCAAATCTTTCATCCACAGAGTATCAACTGGGTAATCTTAAGCATGTCACTCAACTTCTCTGAACTTCATTTCCTCATCTCTAAAATGGAAATGATAATGCCCTCTTCAAATGGTTAGTGAGGATCTGAAATACTATATACAAAGTGTTGGCTCATTCTGTTGGAGAAAATTCTTGCAGGATTTTATTTTCTTTAGTGTTGTTTATTAAAATCCCTATAATTACTTTCTTTATGGAAGTCCAATCTTCCCAACAATACTGTAAACTCTTCAAAAGTAGGGACCTTCCATGCCTTCTGCTTTTGTATCCTGCATAATTATAGCATAGTGTGAGTCATTGAAGAACGTGGTGGCCACCATTCTAGATTTTCCAGTGAAGTCCTAATTTTAAATATCCCCTCTCAGTTTTCCAAATCATTGAGATATCTCTTAAACTGCAGGTTTTGAAGTCACCAAACTACTTCCCCCCATAGAGCCTCTTGCTGTTGAAAACAGCACAAAATTCTTCATTAGACTCTATATTTCACTTTCAGCTTTGGATACCATAGTCACATGCTAATTCATTAGGTGAGCAATTTACTTGCAATGAACTGGCATTTGTTTGAAAGCAAAAGAACAAAAGGCTCATTTCATAGTACAACTTTGTGGAGAAAAGCTATGAAAAATACACAGGAAAATGTCTAGAATTGGTCTTCAATGTTCTAAACACACAGATGCCAGATGCCTCCAGAATACATGGGCCAAACCATACGAAGCTTTTTTCCTCAAAGAGAACATGTACTTCACCCCAGAAATAGTGCTATTTGATAAATTCACCCATTCATTTAAGAGGATACTATTGTCCTTCAGGATCTTTCATTGACTTGTCACAATAGAACATAATATAAAATAGTTAAGATAAAATACAAGGAAGAAAATACATAATTAAGCGTCAAAGCAAACAACAGATATTGAATCTTATAGATGCCAGAGAAATGTGATGGCCATGTGGGCTGAAGCATCTATGGAAAGAAAGGTATCAATAATATTTGGAGACCGAGTGAAGGAGGAAGGGCAGTTTTGACTGGGGGAAGCACATGAACAAAGGCCTATACCCAAGGGTCAATGAAGAGAGTGGACCCAATGGGAATTTACACTCTACTGCTGAACAGGTCAGGAAGGCCAAGGAGAGTTCTGCATAGTGCCTGTTACAAATACTGGCCCTTTAGGAAGATTATTATAACAGTAAATAGAAAGGCACACACAAAAAATTGAAAGTAAAGCTTCACAGGACTTGTGACTGATTGGCCACAGAAAATGAAAGGTGGGTCCAAGAGAATGGGGTTGGGCAGCTGGGAAAGGCCTGAAGCCAGAGGAAGCAGGAGTTTGCTTTTATGGAATGATAATAGATGAGGTTAGCAGCAGAGCCAGCATATGAATAGGTTGTCTTGTATCTTTGACTTTTGAAGAAATGTGATCTTAGCTTAGTGCAGTTTCCTAAACTTGCTTGAGCATCAGTATTAGGCTATACCTTTTTTATAAATAAGGATTTCCAGGTTCCTTTTGATTTAGTAGGTGTGGGATGAAACTGGGGACTCTTCTGTTTTGTTTTAATTCAAAAAAATTAATAGACTCTATTGTTTAGAGCAGTTTTATTTTCACAATAAAATTGAGTGGAAAGCACAGAGAATTGCCATATACTCCCTGACGTCCCCTGATCCCCAAACACAGCCTGGCCACTCACTATCAGCATCCAGCCCCAGAGTTGTTCATTTGTTACAATTAATAAACATACATTGACACATCATTATCATCCAGTCTAGAATTTACATTAGGGTTCACTCTCAGTGTTGCACATTCTAAGAGTTTGGATAAATGTCTAATGACATGTATCCACCATTACTGTATCATACAGAATAGTTTTATTGCCCTGAAAATCTTTTGTGTTCCACCTATTCCATTCCCCCTCCTCTCTAATCCCTGGCAACCACTGACATTTTAAATTGTCTCCAGGATGTACTTTGTTTTTTGTTTTGTTTCTGCTTTGTTTTGTTTTGCTCAAGCATTCAGATGATTGTTATCATTAGACAACGTCTGGAAACACTGACCTAGTGATTAGAATCCAATCCACAACCTTTCTTGTAATTCACTTTATTTTCTAATTGACATTTATCATTTCCACTTATTCCTTTTGATTTCAGTTTCCTAGGATAAATGCTAGTGTTTCCCTAAATTTCTAGTAGAGAATAAGTTGAAATAGAGGATCAATTCCTTAAGTCTTTTTCTACCTTTCCTCAAAATGATGTTATATAATAAAAACACTACTATAATAACAGCAATAATATCCAACATTTTTAAAATGCTTACTACATGACATACACATTCTAAATGTTTTACATATATTTTGTCTACTTAATTCCGAACAACACCATCAGAACAGTAGTATTATTATCCATATTTTACAGGTGAGGAAAGCAAGGCACAGGCATTGGCAAAATGGGATCTCACTCTGGAGAGATATGGGTGCTATGGCCCTGAAAGACTTAATGCAACTAGTATTTAAAGGAACATTTGTAAAATAGGCCTATTTTTATTTCCTCGTTTGGATCTTAGATAGAGGGGGTTGGGTTAATTATGCTCCTCAATAGCAGTACTGGGCCTTGTCCAGTTTTCCTCTTCTTTATTTATTCCCCCTTTAGCTCTGATCTCCTCTCCCACTCCTCTCTGCCTTACAGGAACCCGATTTAATGTGCCTGAAGGCATTCTCGGATGTGTGTATGTCTTTATAAGGCATATAGTACTATTATATGTGTGTGTGTGTGTGTGTGTACTGCTTTAAATTTGCAGAAATGATGTTGTACCATAGATCTTGCTACTTATTTTTTAACTTAACACTTTGTTTTTAAGCTTTAGCCTTA